CAATTTGCTCAAACACTGTCACTGTGAGCTTATTTCACTAAAATAAAAGATATTTTTATGCACAAAATCTTACAAAACATTTTATAATACCCACCAATAATGAACAATTTCAAATTAATTTAAATTGTGGGAAAAAAGAACAATTGCAAAAAATGAAAGTATATGGGGGCCTTAAAACTTGCTTCTATTTGTAAGGTTCTTGTTCTGGGTATGCAAAGTAGATTTGAGCCAGAAGATCTGAGAGGTCTGGTTGGTTGATCCACTGATAACAAGTCTAAAATGTGTTTTGAAGCTAAGCCCTTCAATGATTTATAGGTTAACAGAAACATTTTAAAATCCATTCTCCAAGATACAGGGAGCCAGTGGCAGGACTTTGGCACTAGTTTAATGTGCTCCACTTTCTTGGTTTTAGTGAGGACGCTGGCAGCAGACTTTTGGATCAACTGTACCTTTCTGATCCACTTTTTAGGCAGACCTGTGAAGAAACACTGCAGTAATAATTCTACTAAAGATGAGATGAGATCCTGTCGAGACATTTGTCCTGAAGATGTTCTTTACATGTTAGAAGGCAGACTTTGTTCCTCTCTATATGGGCCTCTGAAGGTTCAGGTTTGAGACCATCACTGCGCCCAGATTTATAGCCTCAATGCTCGTTTCTAGCTGGATAAAATGGAGCTGTGTTTTCACTTTTGAACTCATTTTCTTTGGCCCAAAAATTATTACTTCATTTTCATTTTGATTCAGCCGAAGAGCAATTTTTACCATCTATTCATTCATTTTTTCTAAGCATTTACAATATTTTTTTTTACCTATATTAAACACATGGAGCACATGTTGTAATCCCTTTGATGAAAACCCTAGCACCCTCACTCTCTGAAGCCTAGTCAGCAAATACAGAAACACAACCTTTTGCAAAGTACTCTTAGTATCTTGTAATTGTATCTAATAAAAAAAGAAAATCTTAAAGCTGGGGAAGTCGAAGTATTGATATCTCAGATTGGAAAGGAGAGTTCATTTTTTTGACCTGTCTTATGCGTGAACAAGGAAAAAGAGCTTTTTGCTGTCACAAAAGAGCATAAGAGTAAAACAAACCTGCAGCTCACAGGTAATTCCACCATGTATTGAGTCGAGTAAGAAAACTTCAAGGGTTATTGAAGTTCAGTCACATCGGAGCCCTTTGAGTTTTGGTGGGAGGACTTAAAAATGACAGAACGCAAGTCAGAACTTCCTCAGACATATAGAACATAACTGGATTTCTTACAAAATGAAACCCTGACAGATGACTGGTAGACAAAGACACTTTAACATTGCAACAAACCAGTACCTAACCCTATATACTGTGTTTTTATAAAGTCTAATTAATCTGATGTTCCAGAGAGGATAGTGAAGCTATCTGCAAAAATCTGAGATTTATTTGATTAACTTCTCCAACATCTTAGTGATAGAAGATATGAAAGTGACATGCTTTAACTCTACGTACGTATAAGAAAAAGATGTAGGACTGAATTACCAAGATGGACAATCTTGAGCCTTGTCAGAATCCAGCTGGTCCTCTTGTAATATAGCTTGGTGAGTTGAGGATTTGCAGCTGGTTAGACATCAAAGCAAAAGCGTCAGTCCTAAATTAAACGTGTAGCACAGGAAGGAGAAAAAAATGAAGAAAATAACCACCCCAATATTAAGACAAGAAAGTTTAGCAGTAAAAGCAAATATAACCTCCTGTGGGTATGTGCTGACTTTTGATATCAGTGAAAAGAAATATATCTATATTCCTGTGAAAAGAAAAATGGATGAACAATGTGGGATTTTCTTTTTTCTAATATCAAACAGTCTTCAACTGATTCTGACTGGTAACCGTCAAAGACAGACTGGTTATTACACTTCTTCTGTTGTACAAGTGAGATGTCCTTTCTGCTCATTTAAAAGGCTAAAAGTTAAAGTGACCTTGGAAAATGAATTACATTTCTAATAGAAATTCATATCTTTCATATCCTCATCCATATTTGAACAGCTCAATAGACTTTGACTTTAATAGCCTTCTGCAGCTAGAAGTCTGACTAGGACACATTTTGCTTTATATTCCACTTTAAAGCGTTTATTCACCTGTAATTAAATCATGCTTTCCCTAATTCAATTAAACAAAAAGGTATTTATAATTCCTTGTGGTGTTTCTCTGGCATCTAATCCACTTTCTTTCTCCAGATGGTGCACATCTGCTGGGAAGTTTTCATGAACCTATGTATC